CAAAGCTCAGGGCATCCTCTACATTTGCTCCAGAGGTTGACCTCTGACTCTCTGGACCTTTATTTTGATTTCAAATAGGAATTGTGTACCAAGTCTCTATCATGCAGAGCAGAAGATCTTTTCTAAATAACTTCCCAATGCCATGCTCTGCAGCATATCACTGGGAGAACTGCCAAGGAGGTAAAAGGAGGTAGAGGGACACACTTCCAAAAGGGGTTGAGAAGGTTAAGGACACATATTTGACCCAAAAATCCCTTTTCTCCTTCATAAATCCTCTGACAAAGTCATGTGTAAGGAGTCACTATCTCAATACCAGCAACAGTGTTCAGCTGCAAATTTGGCTGACTTCAGCAACATTTAAAGATTAAATTGTTATGTAAGTCAATTCTCCTTAACCACTGTTTCCAATGAGACAGGTGTCAAAATAGCTTCTGCTGCACATCATTCACCATCTCATCCCTTATTTGATGAAATATATGCATGTATTTCCAGGACCTGCCTTGGTCCAGTGATGACTGTACACTACGTATTAACACCGTACATTAGCCAATATTTTGTCATGGGCCTAAACTGTGAGTTACAGTTTCCATAAGCTCCAACATTACTCACTGTACAGCAGTGAACAGCTAACGTGATAATTCAGAGGTGTGGACCTCTACTTTGTTTGCCTGAAATTGCCTAGAAAATCACCTAGAAAGTCTCACTGGTTCAAACATAAAGAACAAGAGAATTACCAGCCCTGCAGAACTGATTGTTCAGTGCCTGGCAGTCCATTTTTGGACAGAGAATTCTATGGTTTTGCTTAGATTTTCATCTAATTACTCCGAAGTGGATTGCAGGAACTTATGTGTGAAAAGAATTTTCTGGGCACTCCAGGCAGTGCTTCATGTAATCCTCATCAAGGGCACTAATGGATTTACTCGTTTGTCAGCAGCACTCCTCCACATGTTCAAATTGTGTAGCAGAAGCTGCACGCGAGCTCAGATGGGAGCTGAGGGCTGGTGAGGGCTGCCCAGAGAAGAAACTTGCTGCGTTGTTTCCATCACTTGCAGAGTCGGGTCCTGCAACTGAGCTGACTGTTTCAGCTTTTGAATTCAGCAGATAATCCATCAGGAAAATCAAGATCACTGGGTGGCTCTTTAGGATCAAATTTACCCAGTGAAATAGCTCGTCGTCTCAGCATCTCCTTGCCATCCACAGAAAGGTTGGAGAGCAAGTGTTCAACTGGGAGACTCCTCTAGGAAGCAAGACGATAGATAAGCTGTTTCAGTCTACACAAAGTAGCATCTGGCTTCAATGCGTTTAAAAATAATCTGTTTTGACTAGTGCATCTTATATGATAGGCTATCATGTCATGTTCTGGCACTAACAAAAGATGTGAACAATATGAAATGTCATGTTAGGCTAAAGATGCAAAAAACGTTGCAGAAAGGCAGAAGATGTTGGCTTCTTCGAAGTGGCACTGTGTATCAGAAAAATGCTTCCAGAAATGCAGTTTCTGAATACAGTTGATCTGAGGGATGAGGGTGTACTTCCTTTTTGCAATAAAAAGCATAAGCACTTAGAGAAATGTGGCAGGATTTACGTTTGTCCAGAGGTAGGAGGGTCTGATCCAGTCAGTCCAGACTTCATCTTGGCTTTACAGCTTCTGTCTCAAATTCTAGCCATTACCAAAAGGTGAAAATCTGTGGTTTTGGTGCAGATAAAACTTCCATGCATAGTTGCCGATAATGCAGCAACTCTAATGTTTGAAGAGGAGCTACTGAATTTAACTTTACTGAAACCTGGCTAACTTCAAAGCCACCACACAAACACTTTGGTCTGTGTCATTGCTTTATGAATACTGATCTACTGTGCTTAGAGGAAAGAGTGGTTAACTTTGTACTTAGGCTTTGCTCTCTGTAGGCGTAAGGTTGGTGTGGTAAAAGGGGCTCCTTAGTTTAGTGATGCTATAATCTGATCAGTGCAGATTGCCTCTAGTACTAAATTTATAAATAATCCAAATTTATTTCATTTAGGTTTAGTTTTTTAATCGTGCAGTTCTTGTTTTATTCATAATTCATACATATTTTTATTCATATCCTCTCTTTTTAGAAATGATTTATAATTCTTATTTCACAGTGATGTAAACCCTGCAATGCATTCATGAGAGTTAGTATCTCATTGACGGCTGGATTACTGAAAAGGGCTCACATCCTTCAGAAATGAGAGCAGTCAGTTTAAACATGAAGGGACTTTTAAAGCATATCTTGGTGTTTGGGTCTCTGTTTTGAATCTGAAAAGATGTTTTATGTAATGAGAAAAATAACCTGTTTTGAGGGAAGAAAATATTTTGGATGAATTCAAATGTGCTCGAAGAAGGGAACTTACTCTGAACTAAATGATGCTTTTATTGCGGTCTGTCTTTCGAATGGCTGAAATGGCAGATCAGACTAAATACAACTCTTTGTCCCCCTCTCTGCCTTTATGTTCAATCCCTAATTCTTTTAGAGGAGTTATCAGTCAAAATGGGGGACTACAGACAACTCATATGTAAGTTTTGTAGTCTCTTCGAGCGAGATAATAAGTGTTCCCAAATGAAGTACTTATCCTGTGAAGTGCTAGCAAAGCTTGGGCCATCTCATTTTTCATACAGAAAAGCATTTTGCATCATAACATTACACTTAGAGGTGTGCTTACAAGTTCTGCAGGATCCTAGATTTACTTTATGCTAGAGACCTTTTTAAAGAAACACCGTTTCTACCCTCATGATTACAGGAGGAGGAAAAATCATTCCTCTTTTTACCAGCCCTACAGCTTACACCGAGTGAGAGCATCTGCAAGCCTGGGAGAGGTCCTGATCCCCCTTTCAAGTCATAGTAGATTAGTCTGTCCTGAAAGGAACAATTTCCCTCACCACCTTGGATCATGCCTTTAAAAGAAAGAAACCAAATGGTATGCTACCATTTTAGCAACACTGCTGGCTCATCTGAGAGGGAAGGGATTCTCACACGGGTTAGTGGTGGCACACAAACATCACAGAAATATCTTGGTACCTGAGAAGGAAGGATCAGAAATACACACAGCAGTCTCCTGTTCTTCAGAAAGGAAGTGAACTTCCTCTTGATAATGGAAGACTTCAAGGAAATGGCATAATATTTTCACAATAGAAAAGAAAATACATATTAATACGGATCCCGTATTTCTTGCTGCAGTTTCCTGGACAGAAATATATTCGAATGTGGTCCATAGCAGAGGTGTGCACTGGGCAAGTCCATTGATAGCTGATACATGTCACTCATTTTTTCTGTTCTGGGAAGATTTCCAGGTGGAAAAAAGGAACATACGTGAAGTCCTGGTGGGATGATAACTCTCTGTCATATATTTCACATGCTGATAGCCAGTGCCTCACCTAGAGAGTGATAGGTAGCCAAAAGTGTTTGGCATGAGACCAAATGGACCTTCTGCTGCCACCTCTTTCCAGAGGCAGAAATTCCCAGGCAAGCTCCCCGAGAAGGTTATACCATGCCTGTAACATGCCCCCTGTCAGCACATCCTGTCTGTGCCATCCCAGGGGTAGCTGTCAGCCCCAAGCCCAGGAATGGTCCTGCACCAAGACGTCTACTTCTGTGCTGCATGTCATTAACACAGAGCCTTCATGGCAGCCTTACACAGGTATCCCAACGCAAGCAGGGAACCAGGAGAAGCAGGCAGGTTTGTGTTCAACATACTTGCATTTTAAAAGATGAAGTAATTGTCCGTAATGCAGAGGTCTTGAAAGTCCTAATGATAGAAGTTGGTGCTGTCTGCAGGGGTGCAGACGTTGCCATGTCATTCTCATTTGCTGTTTTAACATAAGGACAATATAACCAACTTTATTAGTGCGAGTTGTTAGAGACTTTTAAAACTCTCCTTGGACAGCAGTGACAGGAAATAAATTCATTATGAAGATCCGAACCTTGGATCTGCCACACACACTTTTCCCAAAGGTGGGATAATACCTAAGCATACCTACTGCCAGCACTACTGGCTTGGAGGCAGAACACAAACTGCAATTGTTTCATAACACTCAGGGACTTCCTTTGGAAGATGCAAATGCTTCAACTTGTGTACAAACTATATTTCCTTAGATATCTATCATGAGACTTTTTTCTTCTGTTTTTAATTAATTGTTGCTAGATGATACTACCACAGAAAAGGGATTTTTACCATTTCGGATATCATAAATATTGTTTAAATGGAGGAATTTGCCAATATTGCCCAGTACAATTAACATCTCAGTGGTCTGAAAAATTCATGTGAGTGTATTGCAAGTAACACGCTGCATTTCAGCCCATGATGTAAATGCTGAGCACACACACTAACTGAAGCCTCCATTTTCCTGGCCACACAGAGGGAAATATTTTCCAGGATTTGCAGTCCCAGTGACTACTAGCGGCTACAGAAGCAGGCCCAGAAAGTCAAACCAGTTTAAAGGTACCCGTGTTGTAGACAAAGAGGAAGCCAGAGGGCTCTGGGGCACAAGTGTGCAGTACTGGTGATAAACTTCAGGTCTGGCCTCCTGCTCCTCTAATTCAGCCATAAAATCATCTTTCTGAATGTGTTGTATTGAATAATGAAGTATATTGTAATGGTATATTGCATGCAAATATCCAGAGTCTTCTTCCTAGGCTTGCCTGGGTGTGAGGAGACAGTCCATAGAGGATAACAGGAATGATCAGGCATTTTTTATGTGCTATTCTGTAATCAGGTTTTGAATAGTCAAATTATTTTTTCTGGTGTCTCATTTGCTGTAACTTGACAGGAATTAGGTATGCAAAAGAATGTCAGAAAACCTTCAAAGCTTTTCATCTACATCAGCTGACCTGTTTCAAGGTGCAAACCCTTGCTCTTGCTTCCATAAACAACATCTTTCACATCTCGTTCTTCTGATTTTCCTTTCTTTTATATGTTGAGTTCTTTCCATCATTCCACCTTACTCTGCATTGTCAGGTTAATGTTCCCTTCACCTGTGTTCACAGAGAATGCAAATAAACTGGAAGAAAGTGCAAGAGGCATCTACATCCCTTGTCCAGAGCATTACAATGGCTTCTGCATGCATGGCAAGTGTGAGCACTCCACTAACATGCTGGAACCGTCTTGCAGGTAACCCTTCCACCAAGGACTAAAGGCTACACGCATGAAAATGTTGACATACAAAAAACACTTAATATAGATAAACTATGGAAAACAATGGTAACCGTGGCCCTTTGTGCTACAAAACCCATTAGACTTAAATTATTCAACAAAATCCCCATTTTGTGTGGCGCAAGTGTATTGAGTTATGCACCATGTTAATTGATTGTAAAAACATTCAGTAACCTTGAGTTATATTTAGATATATTTTTAAAAGCACTTCACAAAGTGCTCAGACAGCAACCAGATAGCCTCCTCAGTCTGAGGGAAAGGCATGCCACCAGGAGTATGTCCCTGCTATGGCAGGAGGGATGCTTATGGGGCAGAGAGCTGGGGCGAAGGTGACTCCGTGTGGGAGTCTTTGGAGGAGGTTAGGGCAGGGAAGAGGAGTAATAGTGAAAGCACATGTTTCTGCAGTGAATGCCCCCCTGCAGAGGTGGGGATGTTACTTCTGAAGTCCTGAGGTGGTAAAGAAAAGGACTATTACGCATGAAGGACCATATTCCTGGGACATTGGACTCAGAGAGCTAAGATACGGACCAGGCTTATCCCACAGGGCAGATCCTTTAAGCCACTTTCTCCCAGCTCCCACAGAGAGCCAGGGCACGTTTTGCTCTTTTCAGCTGCTCCAGTTTAGGTTCTCCATTCAGCTGTAAAATGTCCTTTTCTCAAGCTGCTGGCTGCTGTGGGAATGTAGGAGAGGAAAAGGGTGGAAGCACAAGGCTTAACCCATCAGGGTTAGTGTGCCACTAACACTTCTGAGAAGGCCCCAAGCAATCTGCCTCAGTCTCTTTATGGTTGCTGCTGCCACTGACCTGGATTTTCACAACTTCTTTCTTGGGCATTTTAGCAAGAGTTAAAATGGGAAACCCACTGTTTCTTCCCCAAAATCACAAAAGGAGAGATGTCAGGCTACAGGATGGGACCTGGTGAGCAGCGCAGCAAGCGGTGTTGGGTGGATGGTTGCAGTATCAACAGAGGGTTTTTTATAGCAACCAGACAAAATGTAAATGATGTATCCACTTGCAGGAACATCTAATCACATTTCATATGGAGCTTGGATGATTGCTTATCACCTCCTTAGGGGTAATCTGCATAAGGAACCACAACTAGATGGCTTTTCACCCTCCCCCACCTCCCCAAAGAAAGAGAGAAATGTAAAATATGTTGTGCAAGGAACTAAATGGATTCTCAACACAACATGCAAGTAGTTTCACTTGATGCTAGATAATTCCCAGCTCCCTGGGCACCTCCTGGCACTATTGCAGTGATGTTAGGACCTGAGGTCTGCCCTGAGAGGTCAAGGAGGCACCGATGCTCTCTCTGGGGAGCCCATCCTGCAAAAAAAACACATAAGCTCATGCTCAGGCAACTAATTTTTTTTCAGATGTAATTTTTGGGTTTTGCGTTCTTTCAAAGCAGCAGATAACCAGAAAAATACACTTTTTGTTTCAGATGTGATGCCGGCTATACTGGACAACACTGTGAAAAAAAGGACTACAGCGTTTTATATGTGGTTCCAGGTCCAGTACGATTTCAGTATGTCTTAATAGCAGCTGTGATTGGAACCATCCAGATTGCTATCATCTGTGTTGTAGTCCTCTGTATTACAAGGTCAGTGTCTCTGGTATTTTGCAATAAGAAAAGACTTTTGTTTTGCCTACTATGTGCACTGATTATATGGATTTCTGCAGTGACACTGCTGATAACAAATGCTGTTTAATTCACCAACAAACAGAAGATACCGTCTGGTCCAGCCAACCAGTGCTGCCTCATAATTACAACTGAATTTTTACTTCCATCTTAATCAAACTTAGGTAGCAACAGTGCCTACAGCAAATGAAGGTTCCTATTTTGCATTCAGATGCTTGGACAAATATTGTTCATATAAATAGGGGAATATAAATACAGCAGCTGGATCAACACTTAATAAAACTAATCATATCTCCATCTGGTTTCCTCAAGGGCCCATTCCCTTAGTCCTAATCAGGCAAAGCATACAAACTTTTAAGCCTGTTTGCAATCCCGTTGATTAAATGATTTCATTAGACATATATACATGTTCAAAGGTACCACACATGTTTACGGTCTTCTCTAGATGGTGGCACACCAAGCCATGTATGATGTTTGGTTTTTTCTTTAATGAGGAGGAAAGGGTAGTTGGAATGGAAGCGACAGCCCCAGGGTAGTTCAGAACATGAGGTGTAGATGCAGTCCTTCCCCTCCTACATGTGCTACTACTTCCCCACTGAACTGTCTTACTGTCTCTGGGAGGGCTTGGTATAAGTTAAGTTCTGAACTTTAGACATCTTCGGGCTCCTCCCAGAAATCACAAGGTTAAATTAATTCAGCTAGCAAGACTGATAGATCACTCTTTTAGCAATAAATGTATTTTTAAACTAAAAAAGAAATAAATAAATGCCAGACATCATACCTCTGCAGAGAATAAAATCTCAGATATATTTCAGTCCCTATGTTGCACTACCTGGCTGGAAGACTGGTGTAGAATTTGTTCCTGGAAATAAGAAAAAGAATCATAAATCATTCTCTGTCCTCAAGGCATAAAACAAAACCATCTGATGAAAGGTAGCTGCTTTTTTGGCCACGCTGAGTCCATCAGCTCAATGGTAAATGCCGAACAAGCAGTAGATTATGGGGGTATTCACAGAAGTAATTCAAACAGGCAAAATGGTAGCTTGTAATAAGAAAAAGAAGGTGGTGTAGTAACTGATAATGGAACAAATGCTCTGCATCATTTCATTGAGTGACTCTAGTTTGTCACCTCGACACAGTAACACAGAGTATTTTACATTGAAGAATGAAGACAGTGTGCTTTCAGTGATCTCGTACCATAATGCAAATTACCCATCACACTGTTTTCATACATGGATGGTACCTTTTCCCACACACTTTGTGACCAAGTTAATTCATGATCTTTTGACTTTTTTTCTGTAATGGATGTAATTACTGCATCCTCTGTCCCAGCATAATGATTCGAGATGCATTTGCAAAAGTGTACCCTTAAGTGGCCTAAGAGAAATCCACATGACAAGAGCATGTTGTGGCAGTATATGCATAAGTAATTGAGGTTTTTGAAGTTATCTGCGTGAAGAACCTGACTGTACTGGTTTGAATTCCACACTCTGAACTCTGGAAAGTGCTAAAACCATCCTAACAGGTTCCTGGGAGAAAGAAGGGAAACTTCACTCACTTAGAGGATGCTGCAGCCAAATTCTTTGCTGCTAATTTCAGTACAGCTTCACCTAATTAATTTACCAAACGAGTTCAGTGCACTGTGTCCAAACTCTGCATTTGAGCAGCATAAGACTACCATTGTAAATCTTCTAGGTATCATTACTGTTGTTGCTCTTAAAATCACAGCTGTACACTGGTGCTGATATACGGGGCGTCCTACATTGCTGGAAGGCTCTGAGCAACTCCTGGGCACTTTTAGGACCATTGTTGCACACACACTTTAATCTGACTAAATGAGCTGTGCTGCTGACAGGGGCAGTTTGCCCTTGCTCCTGGGTACCTGGTCCTGCCAATGCTCTTTTGCCAGCATTGGTACTTCTGTAGCCACACAATGAACCCAGTCAGGGGATGGACTCAGCCAACGAAGCTGATTTCAAGTGGGTTAATTCCTTGATGAGGCTGGCCACCCAGCTACTCATCGCTAGTGCTATTGGTGGGAATCAGCAGCTGGGGTGGAGAAGTAGGGGACCAGAAGCCAAGAGATACAGAGGGGAGGAAGTGGAGCAGTGAGGCACAGTTCCTACACCCAAGGACTTTTATCTTAGAGGTAAGGCAGAAGAGAAGCAATGATAGAAGTGAAGGAGGATGGTAAATAATATAGGTATGGCCTAGTGTCATAATGGTTCTCATCAGTTTTCTTTACAGCTTTGCATTTTTAGTGCTTCCCTAATGTTTAGTCACAGCAGCTTATTTATGTGAAGAAATAACTTGATTAAAAATGAATGCGTAATACGTTTTACCTGCTATGAATCACATTGTGAGTAACTCCAGCTTGCAAGCAGGCTTCAATGGAGGGAGGGCAGGCAGCCTGTGCTCCAGTACCTCGTTTACATTGATGTAACTGCTGTGTTCATAAATGAATGCATCCCACACACAGAGCACTACAAAGAACTTTTGATTAAAGAGTTAAGGACCAAGGAAAAGCTGTCACTCAATTTTAGCGGGTGATTAACTCTAAAAAGCTGGTTAAGTGCCAACACCCCTTTTAGGAAACCCAAATGCACTTCAGACACAACCTACCTGTAAATGCAATTGCATTGCATTTCAGTAGTTGTGGTGTTGGTACTTGATCCTGGGGCCTTCCCAATTGATGATGAAAGCATCAATTGGTAGTGTAGCATATTATGCAATTAAAACATGGGCATTTTTGGTTAAAAGATGCTTTTTCATCGTCTTAATTGGATAATCTCTACATGTGAATCGATTTCTCTCGACCTTGGCCTAAGTGCCTGTATACATGCTGTCAGTGACAGTTTTGGGAAGGCACCTGTGAGATGCTCATCTCCTTGCTTCCAGCAGGAGCAGTCGGTATCCACTGTTCTCTGGGAATGCACAGCTGCATCCCCTGGGATTACTGACCATCCTGGTCATCCACAGCCACCTGGTACCTCCATGTTTCTTACAAAACCAGTCTGGCTGTGCCCACTGTGGCTCCCCACGCCTGGTTCCCCAACCCACCTTCTCGTGGCTGAGTGCTGGGCAAAGCAGGGCTGCACTTTCTGCTGTAAACCCTCATCCTCTGGGACTCAGGTAGCTTGGGGCTGCCAGCATCTGCAGGAGGATTTACTAGCTTTGCCTCTCAGCACTGTGTCGAGGTGTCAGTGCTGTCTCCCATGGAGGGTCCTGCTGTGCAGTATCCCGCTGACTGGGCAGGAGAGGCCGCCTGGGGACAGTCGGGGCTGGGAGGCTGTCAGAGTGTGCATGACATGACATGCGGCTCGGTGAATCAGCCTGTGTTTGCTAACAGCGGCTCCCTGACTCACTCGGAAAGCTTGATCGCCTTTTTAGGAACACACACTGAATAATGAGTTTGTCATGAAATCGCAAACCAGCTAAACTCGGCGTTAGTTTCATAATGAAAGCTCTGCTGTGACCTCCAAGAGCGCTTATTTTTCCTGGAGTAAAGATAGCAGCCTACTTTACTGCTTCCAAGAAAGGAATGAGGCACAATATAATACACAGCCGTGCAGTTTCTCATGAGGGGGTGGTCCTGTTGGTCAGGACAATCTGACCCATATTTTGTTACACACTTATATAATTGTGTTTCAGAGTTTTGAAATGCTTCATAAGTCCTTATGTTCTTGTTTAGCCTTTCTGTTGGCGTCACGAAACTATAGCATCGCTCCCATTCAACAGAAACAAAAATAGCCTTTTTGGTTTTAAGGGGTCAGTGAAAACTTATTTCACTCTGTTTTGCTGTTAGTTGTTCGACACAGAGCTGAAAGACAGTGCTTTGAGCTCCCACTGCGCTGAGGGTGGGCTCTCCCCAGTGCATAACCCATAGGGTTTCACAGAACGCTGCAGAAAGCCCTCCTGTAAACAGAGAAACAAGTTAGCCCAATACAAAGGGAATTACTTTCCATGTCAGTATGGACTGGGTTATCGTGGCGCTTTCTGTCATGCCACTCCAAGAGGGTGTTTCAGTCTTTCTTGTGTAGCTGCCCTAGCAGAGGGCAGAATGAGGCCAGCTGGGCTTAAACACTCACACCGAACTTCAGCTGAAAAAAGAGCTCCCTAAGGGTGCCTTTCCATGGGAGAAAACCAGAAACACGGTATTACTTTCCCATTAAGGAAAAACGCTTCATAGCATCCCCAAAGCTGATGCTGCTGCAGGTGACAGGTTGAAACGTGCCCTTGCTGAGGAGCACTGTGAAGACCTGGGGCAGAAGAGATTTGCTTTTGCAGCTACCCAAAAGGAAAATAAGATTTGGGTCTTTCCAGTACAGTTGCTTTCCACACTAAGCCAAGCAGCCATGTGAGGAGTGTAGCACGGTGCAGGCACCCGTAAGTAAAGTAGCTGCTCACTAATGAGCTGAACATGGAGCATTTCCATGGAGACTAATAGGGATTGCAGACGCTTAGCTCCTCGGAAAGGCAGCCCCTGCTTCCACTTTGTAAATGCTTCACAGACCTGGGATGCTGAGCAGGTGAGCATGAGACTGTCCTAAATCTTCCACCTGCACCTCGCTGAAAGTAAACCTATTTAAAGATGAGTGATGCGGTGCAGCTGGGGCTGTCACAGCGCTGCAGAGTCACCACCGCTCACCAGGGAGGAGCAGGAATCTTGGCATTTCCCTTGCCATATTTTTGTTTACAGTATGTTCTGTGGGGTTTGTGTTTTGGGGGTACTTTTGTGGTACTGTTGCCATTAGCCAGCCCATTTCATGTAATTGAAGAGGAAACATGTCGAGGGCCAGAGGATGCTTGTGCCACCGCTCGAGCAGATGCATTGTTAAGAGCTGTGTATTCTCACAACTCTCTTTTCCAGGAAATGTCCCAGGAGCAACAGAATCCACAGACAGAAGCAAAACACAGGGCACTACAGTTCAGACAACACAACAAGAGCATCGACAAGGTTAATTTAAAGAGCGCATGTTTCCACAATGGCAAAACTAACTGCAGAGAGCTTGGACTACAAAATACAGTATTATAGACAAAAGATTAAGACAAGATCTACACATGTTGCCTTGCATTTGTGGTAATCTACACCAATGAGAACATGTACTACAGCTATATTTGATTATGTATGGATATATTTGAAATAGTATACATTGTCTTGATGTTTTTCTGTAATGTAAATAAACTATTTATATCACACAATATAGTTTTTTCTTTTTCATGTATTTGTTATATATAATAAATACTCAGTGATGAGAAAAAAATTGCCTTTCTTAAATTTGCTGTATCTCATACATAGCTGTGTATAGTCTTGGGATATTGTATATGGACACTAACAAATCTTTTTTTTTTTCTTTTTCCAGTTCTAGTGGCAATTTTGAGTCTACTGAACTCAGTAGTAGGGTTTTGAGTTGGTCCAAGATCAGCGACAATTATGGATGTGGGAAAGGTGAAGAATAATTTAACCTACATTGAGGAGGGATAAAATATTTCAGATCCGGAGTCAACTACATTTCATCAGCCTTCTTCTCCCATACCATCTATCTTTACTCTCCCATAGCTTAGGAAGTCTTTGCCTTCTAAATTAAATCCTAACCAAAGGGGAAATGGAAATTGTCAGTAACCGTGATGAGAGTGTCGGGGGTAATGTTTCGATTTGGGAGGGAATTAGGTGTCTGTCAAGGTGAACCCTACAAGAACGCCTTGCAGAATCTCAAACTCTGGTCACTGGAGTGAGTGAAAATTGCTTCTTACTGTTGATTGAAAATTATTAGGTTAAAAAAAGTTAATAACATAATAACAGCTGAAATGCCAGCACCGTTTGTACCTCGTGAACATGCTGATACAATTTATTTTTTTTCAAAGAGAAGGTGAAAACCACCTTATGAATAACTTTACGGGTGACCCTACTCCATTAAATGTAATGAAGTGAAATGTTGGCTATATCTCAGGAAAATAAGGGCATGTGTTTTGTCACATGCACATGATGGACACGATGCAAAGTTATTTCCGTGATAGCTGAAACTCTCTGCAACACATTCTTTTGAGAAGGTAGCATTACCCTAGTTTGTGCGATGAATTTTGAGGACGACAGAGTGAGACTGAAGGGCAGAGTGTGGTAGCTTCACTCCTGCTGGATAACCCACTCCACTAATTGACTTCCGGAGTACTAGTTACACTAAGTAATATAAGTGAACTAAAACCCCCTTGTAACAGTATTCTTTGTGCTGCTCCTTTCCAAAGAGACTTTGCCGAGGCAGAAAGTACCCATGACAAGAGTCAGGAGTATTTCTCACTGTCATCACCACGTAAGAAATTGCATTTGGGTCGGAATCAGACCTGGGGTTACCTGGGATGATGTCTCATGAGTATGTTTCCATTTCCTGCTTCAGCACCGGTCTGATCGCCCACAACAGTCACCACCAACCCCACCGGCGACAGCCCACCCGATGCAGCCATCAGGCACGGGTGAAGCAGTACTTCTACTCTTAACACGGCTTTTGGTCTCCCCCCACCCCGAGCCTGCTTTAAAGTGAATCCATTGCATGATGTTCACACCGTCTCAGTTTTTGTCTTGTTCTGGGTTTCTTGGCTTTTTAAAGGTAATAAAAGGCGATTGGCAAGAGATGCTTCCAGGCACCTGGTCTGTGCTGATTGATGGGAGTGGGAGTGTGGTGCTTTTGCAGGCAGCGGGCAGGCGACCGCGCGTGACGGCTCTGCAGCGCAGGGATGCTGGCCCTGCAGGGACCATCTGCTTCCCAGTGCTGTGGGCTGGGGCAAGGCAGAGGGAGAAGGGGGCTGTTCTCCCTGCTCCTGTCCCTCACCAGCTCTCTGATATTCAGGGCTTGTTTTTGGATCTGAAGCGTGATGGTGCGGGGTTGGAGAGCGCAGCAGAGAGGCAGCGAGCAGGCGTGATGCTGGCCCCCTGGACCACAAGGACATTTCCATTCTCAAACTCACTGCACGATGCTCCTCTTTGTCCCAGTCCTTGCTGGTTTTGTCTCCCACACATAGGCTTAATGTGACGTGGAGGGGAACCCAGGCATTGGTGGGCTGTATAGGTTTGGTGACACAAGATCCTTTCTAGGGAGACTTGCAAGCTCTGTTAATTACATTGATACCTAAGTGGCATCCCTCCGTCACCTAAACCCAAGACAGCAATGGCAGCGAGCACCTCCGAGGAGCACTTCAGCATGAGGTTGAGGATTAGGTTGGAGGTGGCAAACGTAGCTCTACCCTGCAGCCCCCACCACCACGCTTTGTGCTTTCGGAGTGAGGTGTTGGAGTCTAACAAGCATCAAACTACAGATTTTGAGCTGAATCCAAATGCCAGTCCCCCCACTGGGGCTATCAGATCTGGATTGTTTATTTCAGTCACTTACTTACATTAGATACAAAAATCAAATGTTAACACATACACACTGCCATGTACTGATAGCAGTAAAGCTAATAAGAAAAAGGCCTGGCCTAAAATAGCATGGCATCGCTTAGAAGTGAAAATAGGAGTACAACACACTATCTCTAAACTTCCCAAAGTTATTTGGTGTGTTTTCACCTTGCAACGCCACATTTAATCCCTGAACAGTCTGTGTTTGTGAGTTGTTATTAGCTGCATCCCCAGCTGCAGTATCTGTCACAAAGCCTTCACACCTCTGAAAACAAGGCCAGTTTTTAAGTACCTGCTGCAGGCCAGAGGGCAGAGAGGGGAAAGTGATTCCAGTTTTAATGCACAGAGGGCAGGTCCCACCTAACAGCAGACCTCATTGGGCTTTTCAAACTTAACCTTCAACATGCTGATATGGGCACACAGTCTGACAATAATAGTGTCTTGGGGTTGTATGTACAGGAATGGAGATTTCTGCAGAAAACATTTGCAGACTTAGTACCAAATGCGGCAGCAAATTTGGAGACGTGGATTTGGGGTTGTTTTTTCCTTTCCAGAAGGGACTGCAAAGTGCATCTGTTAGAGCTATCTGCTGGCCAGAGCTCGAGATGTGGAACATCTTTGTGCAGTTGAACTTCACAGAACACATGAAGCCATGGCCATGGGGACAGTGCCATGCACAGAGGCAGAGCCCAGCTCCTCCACCCAGAATCACACGGAGGGGTGATGATGTGTTGCCGCTTGTCCACTTCCCAGTACTCTGACACCAGGCCCCTTGCAATGCCAGTGAGAGTGGGCTTGTTCCTTAGGCAGAGGATGCAGTAATTCGTTTATTTTTGGCTGTTCCATAGGCTTTTTCTCCCATGGCACTGTGGCATCTGCAAATAACTTCAAATACTGCCACACGCTTACTTTACAGACAACACAAGAGAAGATCGAGATAGATACACAAAACCACTGACAAGACCAGTAATACCACCCTCACCTTCAGGACCATGCCAGCCTGCAGTCACTTATTAGCCTGGCTGTTGTTTTACTGAGGCCAAACCACTTGGTAAAAGCAGGTAAAAATAGGACTGCTGGCACACCCATTCCCCAAGGCTTTTCCTCTCAGCCTGTAACATTTTTGGAGCAAGAAGCTGTGCAATTATTTTGTTTGTGATGTATTTAACACAACAGCATCCTGACCTCAATCCCCAAAATAAAGCCATGGTGCTATTGGCATGCACTGTGTGCTGGTGAGCAGAGCCCACCCACCTTCCCCAGCGTGGGATGTTCAGATGATGTTCAACCCCTTGGTGCCTTTAGATGTAGGCAAACAAGGGTGCTGTGCTGGATGGCAGCCTGTAAGTAAACTGCCTGCGTAGCTCATACAGACTGAGGTGGGTGACACACAACTCTCACCTTCTCCCACCCCAAATGCTGCACTACAGGACAGACACAGCTTCCATACCTCTCCATCAGGAGGCTTTTCCTTAAAGTCTAATCAGATGGTCATTATTATTCACTTTCATCCAGTGAAAGGCATGATTTTCAGAACATTATCATTACAAAAATACTATAATTAACAAAGGGAGGCTGGATATCCTATTCTAGCCACTGCCCCCCTTATCTTGCCTGCCTCTGCATGCTGAGCAGCCGTGATTACCCCAAATGAAAGGACACTGGGGCAGTTTTTCCATGTAGCTGTAGCCATCATGGTCTCACCTCCCTGGGCAGCACTAGATCAGCTCAGCTTTGAAGACATTTACTGGGTGCTAGCCTGGAGGGCCACACACTGAAGGCAGGGATGCCTGCGTCTGTATGTATGTCCCATGCACAGGTTAAGCGAAGGGGCGGGTGGATGTGAGCAGAAGGTGGGTGCCGTATATCACTGCCTCCTATTTTTCTGGAAGCAGCTCTCAAAAAGCCTCATCTTCAAAGAGCTCTCTAAAGCTTCTTTGAAAACAAAATGATTAAAGGCTATTTTCCCTCTCTTCCAACATCAGACATATCTCGCACCGCATCCTTGCTTTCACCCCTTATTATGCATATTATTTCACCCCTTAGTATTTTCCACAGCTCCCACTTTTGCGTCAGGGTGGAAGTTACAACTCCGAATTAAAAGCAAAGTTCATTACCACACATCAAAGTAGGCACCATGCCCTGGCCAGGCCTACCCTTCCTTTTATTTATTGGGGGGGCTGGCTGCAAGGTGTTTACAGATGTCAGCTCCCAGGGGTTTGTATGGCAAGCT